ATGGGTGACCTCTTAGGTCCCCAAGAGAGCTCTCTTAGAGACGCAAGCCATGGGTCCACTTGGGTCATCCATTTGGCTTGACCCAAGTTTCCAAGGAGAGGTTCCCCTTGAACCATTTCTCAATACATTCTAAATTGGATCCAACCCAAGGTGCCATTGGGTCTGCCTTGACCCAATACACCTTCTCTAGACAACCCAGCCATTGGGTCAACTTGGGATAGGAGTTAGGCTAACCCAAAGTGTCCAAAATCACTTGGATTTGTGCCAAGTCCCACCATATGACCAATTGAACCTAGCTAACACCCCCACTAGGTGACCCTATGTCCAAGGCATCTACCCTAGCCAGCCCAGCCCTTAGGTTAACTTGGGTCAACCTCTAGGCTAGCCCAAAGTGGTCAAATCCATATTGACCCAAGCCATCTCCCACGTTAGGGCAATTAAAGCTCAATTTCCACTTGTATTGGGTGCACCTAACCTACCTCCAACACTAAACCCAGGGTTTAGTCTGACCTGGGTCAACATGAGCCATTCCTTCGAATTGGACTGCCCTAGGTCCAATTGAGCTCATACTCAAGCTCACCATGTCCCCATCATCCTTTGCAGGTTAACCCAACCCTAGGCCCTGTTGCTAGTGGTCAGAACCAATGCAGTTCAAGCTCCAGTAGTCCCCCCACTTCAAGCCTAATCCTGAGCCTTCCATAGCCCGGCCTTGATAGCTTCAAGGATACGATCACTTTGGCGGAATGTCTCCTCCCACCTTGAGCCCGTCTGATAACCATCCTAATTGATCCCGATCATCCTAGCTAGTATGAGTGAGATGAACATGGTAGCTCATTCCAGAGGGCATTATTCATGTGTAAGCCCATAAAATCATTCCTTAGAGCTCCCTCGACCTTCCTGTGTTACTTCCCAATCTGCCATCCTCTTTCGTAGATCCTTTCGAGCAAGCTCCGGTGAAGTCCGTGTATGTTCACCTTGAAGTCATACATCTGGCAACCCTCTAGTCCTGACATCTAAAGGAGATCTGCTTGCCTTCATCCCCTTAAGATTCCAGATAGATAAGCTCATCCGTTGAGAACTTCTCTATGATAATACCTTGACCATGAGCTCCCTAGATAGGTAGTTTGACCAAGTGTAAAGGAAACCTTCACCCCAACATATTTCCACCGTTTGATTGAAGGTTTCCATTCCCCTGATCCTGCTTGAGAAATTTCATTAGAGTTCACCGATGAGATCTCTTGGATCATGCCAGAATAGCTCTATGACTTCGTGTTCATGTGAGAGGTGGAAGACGTAATCCTAATTGTTTGTCTCAATAAATGGTTCTGATTAGATCATGTGGTTCCAGAGGCTGTTTAATCCGAGCCATCTGATCTCTCATCCAACGGCTATGGTCATCCCGGCCGTTATCCCGCCAGCCGCTAATGATTGCTTTGAAAATTGGAAGGTACCTAGTGTAAAGTGACGGCTGACTGGGTAATTAAGGGATTTAATTTCACATGAAATTTGGGGAAAATTCAAAAAATCACATCTCCCTACACACTTGGCTAATTTAGGTGTTCTTAGGCTCATTAGAAAGATCTCAGGGAGACCTTTAAAAGACTAATGATCCCAAGCCTTAATTTCATTTGTATCTTGCATTTGTATGCTTGATTTACGTCCCCATGGCTTGGGACTTAGGGGGAGTCAATTTGGGCATGTCCCTGACATGTCCAAATTTTCCCTAGTCTGTTTGAGGTGTCTAAGGGAATTATTCAAACGCATCTCAAAACTTGAGTCAAATCCATTCAAACTTATTTGAAGCCAAGCCACCTTGATTTGATATGGTCAAACATTGACCTATATTCAAATCCATGTATTCAATACTCCTTTCCACTCAAATGTTAAGCCTCGTTGATTTGAGAACCCATGAATCCACTTCACTTAACATCTTGAATATCCCTTGGTATGACATGAGTCAATCTATGGTCATTTTGACCAAATCAACACCTTTAGACTTGGTCAAACTAGCTTAAACTCACTTCCTTGCCTTCAAGCCTCATTCTTAGACATCAAACCCTCTTAAACTTGTCACTCCAGTAGCTTAAGGCATCCCACTTGCCACATCACTAGTCCACATGGCAAATGGACTGATCAAATAGTCAAATCAAGGTTTGGGATGGGTCAAAGATGGTTAACACCCATTTAAGACTAATCCCATCCTTTCTTAGACCACTCTATTAGTCCAAGTCAACTTTGTTGACCTCATTTTTGTATGAGGTCACTTGGACTACTCCTGGCCCTAAATTAATTTAATTTCCAAATCAATTTAAACTCTAGGATCCTCCTAGAATCTTGACCTTAGGATCTATGCTAGCATTCTTCTAAAGCTCAGACCTTAGGAGCTACTCTAGATCCTAAACCTCTTATAGACTCCAAGTTCTAGGAATTTCTTAGGCTCTAGGATCCTTCTAGATTCCTAATTTTAAGATCTATTCAGACCTTAGGATCTACCTAGATCTTAGGTCAATCAAGCCAAATCCAAGGCCCAAAGGTTTTGTCCTAAAGGCCTTTTCCATTGAAATTTCAAACACTTTGAAACCCAATCAATTGACCTCCAATTCAGAGTCTGTTAGTTGCATACTGATGGGACATGTCTCCAGAGGCAACCCTCCAAATTTGATCCCATTCTAATGTCTCTACCCCCATAAACTTAATTAAAATCCATAGGCTGTAAAACCTTCAAATATTTACGGCCTATGCTACTGGACCTGTCACTTTGAAGATTCTGACCTTAGAGCCATCACCAAAGCCTCTAGTCACTTCCAGACCTTTAATCTTGATATGTTGAACTTTAAACTGTATTTTTCTGGACCCATTTTGACCCCTAGTTGACTAGGGGTCAAAATGACCGAAATACCCCTATGGGGTTCAAATGGTGATTTCAAACCAAATGAACTCCGAATTGAATGCAACCACCTCCAGCAAGTTTCAAATGTCATTTCAAATCTGTTGGACCCATTCCTGACCCTTGGGTCAACCTGGTTGACCAAGTCAACAGGTTTGACCCAAAAGGTCCTTTAAGGGTCCAAACAGGCATTTTGAACCAAATGACCTCCCTAGACCTTCAGACCACATCCAATAAACTCTAAATATCATTTTGAATCTATTGAACCCATTTCCAAACCTTGGACCTAACTAGTTGACCAAGTCAATCAATTTTGGCTTAAGGGCCCATTAAGGGCTCATTTAAGCCCTCTTGAACCATTTGACCCATTTAAACCCTTCGAACCCTCAAATCCATCTCAAATGTTGATTCAAATATTTTCAATTCCTTTGAAATTAAATCACCTTGAATTTTGACTTAATCAAACCTTTAACCATAATTAAACATTTGTATACACATGTCTATCTTATTCAAATCCCATTATCTTAAACCACAAACCCTTCCAATCTACATAATCAACACTCAAGCTCTCCCCTTGACTGCCATCTCACCAATGTTTGACTGTTTGACCAGTCAAACAGTCAACATGAGGTTTTAAATGAGCCAAGGGTGATTAAACAAACTCCTTAAGCAAATCCAACCCATTTAATCCCTCTCCAGCTGTTTGAAGACTCTCTAGAAGCTTCCTAAAGCTATTCTTAACCCTTAGATTAAGATCCAAGGGTTTAAATCAAACCCACTTGCTCATATGAGGACAAAGCTCACTTTCCACATGGCTTGTCCTCTTGTCCTTTTGATCCTCTGCCCTTAACCACCCCAGAGACAGGTGGCTTGATCTTAGGAACCCTCCCATTCAATCACAGCCTTTCATTTGGCTTTGGGACAATTGAATAGGGCAAAACCTCCTTGGGAGCCTTCATTCGAACATACACACTCTCTCCCCACTCAAGCCATCCCAGATCCAGAAGTCTTTTCATTTGAGCTATCAAAGACTTCATCAACATTCCCCAAGTCCGAATCCGGCATTTGGAGGTCGCCGGCGGAGAGTTTCCGGCCAAGCCGAAGGCCAAATCCGTCTCAAGCTCGAGGCCCTTGATCCAGACGTTATCAAGCCAATGTTTCTTCTACAAAAAGGAGCGTGGACAGCCTACAAATGCAACATGCCCAAATAGGTTTGAAAATTAAGAAGATATAGTATTTGCGGTGCTGGCTTTTTTAAGTCTTCAAGAGATCCATGGAAAGGGGATCCAATCTCTCCTACTAATCTGTTCATTCTTGCTTCGGCATTTCTGTATGTTATTGCCTTTGTAGACGTGCAAGTTTTGTACAAAATTGAGTTAACAACTCTTGTAGCACTCATGGCTAATAAATAAATCATCAGCAAGGAAGGTGCATAAGTTTCCCCCAAATAATTGGGGGAAGGTTAATATCATTAGAGTTGTCAAAAAAGCTCTTTATTGGGTCAAACTCAAGTGTCAAACAACTTAAGTTTGACCCAATAAAAAGTTCGAGTCTGACTTGTTCATTAAAGAATTGATCAAACTTGAACAGAACTATTGAGCTTGTTTTGTTAAGTAACCAAATACAAATAAAGCCTGTTTGAACGAGTACATCTCATTAATTGCTCAAACAAAAATAATGAACAAAATGATATAGATTAAGCTCACTTAAGCTTAGGTCATCTACTTACGATGATGATATTAATCATTTGAGTCAAAGTTAGATTTCAGGACAACATGTTGTGGCTTCTAAGTACTTTTATATAAAAGAAGAAAGGATCAAAATAATCTCTCGACTCTTTATGAGAGATCAAAATAGTCCACAATAATATTAACAAATCATTTTGGCCCCTCAACTCTCTATAGATGAATCAAAATAGTTCCACACCATGAGACTATTTTGATTCCTTTTAAAAGACTTGAAAGATCAAAGTAGTCCTTTAATATAGTTGGGAACCATTTTGATCTTTCATAAAGAATCAATGGACCATTTTCATCATTTTTTCTGATATAAAATTATCAGCTTATTACATATTGAAAAATCTGCGCATGAATTGAAGAACAGATAAAAATACTGCTAGCGTAGAAGTTCTAAAGGAAATGATAATAAGATAAATGCAACTTCAAAAGGAATTTTTACGTAGAATATTGCTACCTTCTCGCCTCCGTAAGCATTGAACGCTGATCAGGTGTTTTCTCAATTCCATCATGGACCTCACTTGCACTATAGCTGTATGTCAAATATGACAAGAAAAACAGAAAAATAAGATAGTCACTCGGGTAGCATTTAGAAATCATGAAATGCATTTAAATTTAGTGACACGGTAGGTCAACTGGCGTAGTTAGGAATTAGTCTGTCCAAATAATTTAAACACCAATATTGGTTTTAAATTGACTTCATAGCTCGCATCAAAGAACAAGTCAATAATAATATCAAGGAAATGCCTGGCATTGTATCAAAAGAGCAAAACTTTCGGCTATGCTTCTTTTCTGTGAACTTGTCAACCACTAGTCACGCAATTAATACATGGAATCTAAGTGGTCAAATTCTTAACTAATTCTGCAGGACAATTAATTTGTGCCGTGCAAGTAAAAGAAGATGATCATAAAGATTGTGTCGTACAAGTAAAATAAGATAATCATAAAGAGAAGCATCCACAAGAACACATCAAATTAAAAATAAATGAAAGACTTTAGCTCCCATACCAATCAAAAATTATATTTTTTTGCATAATTGATGCTAAAATATGTTAGGAAATACTGGAGAAATCCAAGTAATCACTAATAAGATTGGATGGAAAAATTCGGCAAAAACAACACCTTTTGATTTAAGGAAATCAAATAAACGAAGAAATAAACAAGATACAATTTATCCTCAATTCGAGAGGAGGATCTTCTCTCCCAATCCCTAGAAGAAATCTAGGGCCCAAGACTCCAAGACAATAACTCTCAAAAACAGCCACCAAAACATGCATAACCTAACCCTAAAAAACTCTTGCTATTTAATCCCTAATTCCCTAATTTCAAACTCCGGATTCAAACTTTTCCCTCCCACTCCTAGCCGCCCCCCACTTCTTCCCTAATTGGCTTTTCCTAGTGGCCCCACTAGGCTTGGGCGGCACCCCAAAGGGGGCAATTTGTTTGCCTCCTGTAATATAGAACCCACTTGGGCCGGTTGGCCAGTTCAGGGAGAACCGGCCTAACAAAATAACAAGCAGAATGTCATGAAAGTAACTTGTGCATTTAATTTTAACATTAAAGAGTTTTATGCACCGAATGCTACCAAATCATTCAACAAGCATTATAACCCCCAAATCAAGAACATCATTAATACCTTGACGGAAGAGTTGTTTGGAGAACAAAGGGTGCATATGCAGTTTCTCTCTCAACTGCAAGTCTTTGTGCCTTTTGAAACTCCTTGAGAACTGCTTGGAAATCCTTTGCAAGCTTAGCATCAGCAATTTTCTTGCTAGCCTACAAATAAATTATCAAATTATGTATACAATAAAATAAGTTAATCTCAAATATCATAAGAGAGAAAGAGTGCAGTATGTTAGCATATTCTGAACAAAAATGAATTTTAAGAAAACGTGGGAATAGAAAGTGGACTCACACTGACTGGAGTGTGATGATCTGTTTCACTAGCTTGCTTAAGTTTAGCTGAAGTATCTTTCACAAGCTGCCCAATGTGTAGTCTTGTTTTGTGCCTGTCATCAAGATAAAATTTAAAAATATCCATTGATTGCAATAGATTTGTTTAAAAACAACAACAAGATCAAGCCTTTATCCCACTATAAGCAGTTGGCTGATTTGTTTAACATTAAAAAAAAAAAAGAAAATAACAAGCAGATTTGTTAATAATGACTTGGCATTAATTAAAGGGGCTTTTCTGGCTCAAATGAAATTGTAAACCTAGAGGGATCACATTTTTATGCCAAATCTCTAACAAAGAACGAATATGATAAACATACCAAATTGCTTTAAAGAGATCAATTAGTAGAAGGCACCCAAATTTACATAATTTAAATTAAAAAAATAGTATTTATCTATTTGATTTACCATAAAGAAGCCACACATATGTACAAACAAAAGGGACTTTAGAAAACACTCTCCTTCAAACCTTCTTCAAGTCAATATCACGAAAAAAAAAAAGAAGCCTCAAATCTCTCTAGATAAATAAATGAGAAAATAATTCAAGAGAGATGATAAAAAACAAAAGACTAAGCAAATACCATAAATTTTTCACTACAAAATTTTCTCAATATAGTTACCATCCCACATCTCTATAGATACGGAGCAAAACTTTTGGCCCAACAGGCTTTCGGATTGCCAAGATGCCAATTCACAAACACGCAAAAGAATTGCTTCCTTCCTCTTTTCTTTCTCTCTATTTTATTTATTTTGTTTTAACAAGTAATTCTTTGTTTCTCTCCCTTAAAGAATTACTCTAAAACCAACAAAATCCATCCAACCAAATTTCCCTTTAACGCACTCAATGGCAGAGCCCAGACACTAGCCTACAAACATCCCAAGTACACATAACAATGTACAATTTGCATGTCATAAGACTCCTATTTATAAGAGTTTTCAGGAGGACAATTTCAAATCCTTTTGGTTAAGGATTTATCCAAAATAATAAATTATCCCAATAAATTTTCAAATAAGTTTTATCCTAAAAAATAATATTCTGTTTTATTCTTAAAAAACCTCCTATTTTAGATTTGTGCATTAAAATAAATAATTTAGTCAAATTCCTAACAATCACTTCCTTGACTGAATTATGTGACAATAAATATGGATCTCTTCTATGACTTTTCTCCAAGCTGAGCACCCTAAGCTCTTAAAGCCCCAAAGGACTGAGCACAACATATCCTCAATAAGCCAAATGATGTTTGAACATAACACCTGTGATATTTCTTTCATGAACATTTGTTGCACAACAAGATGGTGTTAAGGAAGGTCAAGCTATTGTGCTTAGTCCTACAATAGATATGTTAAAAATATATTGGGGTGAAAATACTAAGTGGTTGGCCCTCATCTATAGGCTTAGGCTTTTAGATTGAAAGAGTTTTCTCATTAGAATATCAGACTTACCATTAATTATCCTTTGATTTGCACTCCCTAATAAATATCAACAAAATCAAATGGTCAATTAGGATCATGTAGTGGGTCTTAGTACCCTCTATCATGGATTAGGAAAGCTTAAGATCAGGTGACTCCTACAGAGGCTCTATGTTGTTGAGTAAACTCTTGGCATATGATACTTAAGGGAATTTAAAAAAATATATATTTGAGGGTAAGTAATGGCCAGTATGAAGATCTCTTACATGACAAGGAGATTATTAAAAAATGTGAGAAAATTGAGTTTAATCTCACGTCAAATAGGTGAAAAAGATGTTGGCATAGAAATATCTAGTTGGCCCTCACCTAGGGGCTTAAACTTTTGGGTTAAAAATAGATATAACTGCCATTTTATCAAGCACAAATCTTGTCCCTATTTGCTCTACACTCCTTAAATATATATCCAAATGATCAAAAAATTGCATGTACTAGGCCGACTCTGAGTTTTTATAACCCCAAAGTGATTGCATCTTTGTTCTGAGTATTGTAATGATATGATCTCACACTAATATAGACTACACAACCATATGATCTCCAATATTATCATCCTTAACCTATGCCCTCCTTTATTCCAGAGCCTGACATGCAATTAAGAAGCTAACATTTTTTTGCTTCTGCAAATCATGATTCCATAATATATACAATAAAACACCACTCAAGTTTACAGCCTCCAACACGAAGTCCACCAACTCTCTTCGTGCAGTCAACAAACCTTTGTAAACTTAAGTATTTCAACATTTGGATGAAATATGCATCCTGAATTACTAAGAGTACTCAAATATACAAGTTTCTTCTTAAAATTGGTATAGAATTGACTCTCTTCAATGTCCTAATCACACACTCACGCATCATAACCTTCAAATTGCCAAAACCAGCTATCTTAAATATTTCATTATTTCTCATATAAACATAACCACTATAGTGTGGTTATAAGTAGAAAATCACTCCTAGGGATACACGATATTCATAAGATGAATTAAGACTTTATTGGTCATTATATCTATCTTCAAAAATCACCAAAAGACATCACTTTATGTCCATTGGACCAATCAGCAATAAGATTAGCATATGTTGGCTAAGCATCTTTGTTGTTTCCATAACACGCTACCCCTTTCACTTCAAATAATGTTAGTCTCACTTAATACGCCCTTTCTTCTTATAAAAATAGCAAGATACATTCTCATATTTGACACAAGACTTGTGCCATAATGAAAGTTAGACCCCATCTCAAAAAATTTCAGAATCAATAATCTCCTACTCATGCCTTCATCCCTGCCACACTTAAACTTAACAGTAATTTCTTGAAAAGGTGGATTATTAACATCTTATAGGCTAATTATAGATCTTCTAAATAACAAAGTGTAAAAAAAAAAAAGAATTAATAAAAGAGATAAGAAAATATCACTTGCTCGTCAACATAAATTATACTATAAATATTTCCCAAATCTCAAAAATAGAACTAAAGTAGTTAATATGTGATTTAATAAGTGTACAGTCTGACTCACAAAGCATTACCTTCTCTACCTTTGATATAGTTTGTTAAAAAATTTTTTAATCATATAGATCAACTTGAGATTGAACCCCTTTGTTGTTGTTTCCTAAAAAATTTTTTATAAAAGTTTATTCATAAAATAAAATTGGGTTGTCAAGAAAGCTTTTTCATCTCTATTTTATCCTGTGTGCTCGTAAATGTAATCTCAAGCATATTTGAATGTCCCATGAGTGCCTTTAGAATCCAATACATATTGGTTCTCCAAAGCTCAAAGTTATTTGAACTATCAAATATTTTTATCATAAACTTCATGGATATCATATTCCACGTTGGGTTCTAATATCACTAAAAGCCAAAGCCTAGCTAATTTGCATCACACACATACCCATGCATGGTTTGTATATATTAGAAGCCCGTTTATAAGGTTTTAAGAAAGCTACTTTCAAATCCAATGCAGTTCAGATTTTAAATTAGATTTATCCAAAACAATTAATTATCCTAACCAATTTTTAAACTAGACTTCATCCATAAAACAAATAATTTGTTATTATTCTAACAAAAATCATATTATCTGTGAATATGCTAACAAAATATTGAGTCAAAATCCCTAACGGAAAAAAATACATGCGCCATGCAAATTCTCTAATTAAATGTCGTATTCCTATGATTAGTATCACTTGGAATTTTAAGTTGGGTTAAAGATAATTGGTCTGTTGCTTCACAATAATGATTAACCCCATTTTCCATATAGTTAGATCATCAGGGTAAGGTCTAAAGGAGAATGAGATAGCAAATAGATGAATCTTCCCGATCAAACGAAATTTCTTATAAAATCCTTTCCAATAATCTGGCAACGGAAAAACAATGAAGCTTAAACCAAAAACAAAACCTATCAAAGAATAAAACACAATTTATAGCAGCCAATTTCTAAACTTCACTCCCGCAATGAATCAAACACAAAGAAACAGACAAGCAAGAACATTAAACTGGAAGAAAAAAATAATAAATAAATAAATAACCAAAAAAAAAAAACAGAAAACACATATCCTTACAGCCGTTCTCGGAGCTCAAGGGTATCCTTGGGCGTTCCCAGAGTGTTGACAAGTCGCTGGAAAGTGGAGACAGCCGTATTGATCTGGAAGACGCCGGCAGCCACCGCCTGCGTGGGCTCTTGCATTGTGTTCGCCGCCGCGTCTCTCCTCCACAGAATCGGCCCGCCCGATTCAACATCCTGGAAGCTCATCCCTTCCGGCAGAATTTAAGGTAAGAGGGTTAGCGACAATTCTAGCCCTAGGGATCGGGAAGATTGGAAAGAGGAAAAACCTCAAAAATTAGAAACCCGAGGGGAGGAAGAAGATCAACAAGGCAACAATAAAAGGCACTAATCCAAAGCCTAAATGGGTTTAAGTGGACCCAATTTCAAATTTTGTTTTAAATTATTTTTTATTAACTTCCAATTAAGATTATTTAATTTAAACTAATAAATTTAGTAAAATTTTCATATTTAAATTATGGACATGAGGCATTGAACAACTTTAATCAAATTTATATCATGGAAATATATATATATATATATATATATATAAACTATTTTAAAATTATATGTACGTAAATCTTTAATTTTGAGAGATCTATTGAAAATTAAACACTGGATTGAGCTTGAATGAATAGATTTTATGGGGATGATTAGTTAATAATAATCTTATTTATTCACTAATCAAGTTGTTAATTATTCAAGTTAATTTTGTCTCTTGCATGTGTAGGGTGCACACACTTGCAAATAGCTCTAGCTCTCCTAAATTTAGGAGTTGATTGTGATTATATATGTGCTTTCATATGTTAATTCCAAGGGTTAGACAAACCATGATTGAAACCTATTTAAGTTAGTGTTATCATTAAGGACAATAATTAAGGACCCAAGTCTAGAAAACTTGGAAGATTTTAGAAATTAGGATATACATTCTCTTCACTTGAAACTTAGAACATTTTAAATTAGTGAAAAGTAAAGCCCATAGAATTATTCTCATGGATTTTAAAATTCATTAAGCCCCTTAATTAATTTTCTTAAACTTAAACCCATAATTAAGCCTTAAAAACTTCTAAAATAATCTAATAAATCAAATTTAAATAAAAAAATTACTCATAATACCTCAAACTAATAAGAATTTGAACCTTAATTAATTAAAAATAAAATCCCTTTGATTTGATAGCAAAATTAACCATAATTTAATTTTAATTTAAATTCAATATTTAATCAATTTAATTATTTAAAAATAATTAAAAATTCTACAAAAATTCCCAAACACTTGGGACTCTATTCTTAGGTCATTCGTGACCTTTGGAATTGATTTCAAGGAGTTTGGAGTTCATTTGGACTCAAAACATTAAAACACCCTTAATTAAATAATTTAAAAATTTAAATAATTATCAAATTTTGAAAAATACTAACTAATTCCGGAAAACTTCAAATTGAACAAACTCAAAGGAATTAAACTCATACAAAAATCTAATATTTATTGAAAATATCAAACCTCCAAAAATCATTCAAATTTGAAAAAGTCAATTTTTGGTTAAATTTAAGTTAAAAATCGAGTCAAAACTTCAAACCTACATAAATAAATATAGAAAAATTCAAATCCAACAAACTTATGGTCTAACTTATCATCTTAAAGAATAATATTTTATGAAAATACTAACGTTCTAGAAATCACTCTTAATTAAAAGGTCAACTTTAACCCCTTAATTAAATGATTAAAATAATCAAGAAAATTCCTTAAATTCAAAATTCACTTTAAATATCAAGAAATCTTTAATCAAACTTAAAACCAGTAATTAACCAACTTTAATTAAAATTCATTAACCTTAAAACTTTAATCAAATCAAATCTCTTAATCATACTAGTTACCACTAGGTAACCCAGGCCTACAAAGCTTTTAGCTTAGCCCTAAGGAAGGTAAAATAAACTTCACGACCTCGATGAGCAACAAAGGTGGTAACCAATAACCCTTTAAAATATTCTTTAAAATTAACTTTATGCCATTAATAATTAAATTTAAACTTAATTATTTCCTTAAACCTTTCAACCAACCAGAACCTTAAGCAACTTCAATCAAATATCCTATATAAGACATATCCAAACCACACAGTCTTCTACACACACTTTAGATGATTTGCTAGGATAACAACCCCTAATTTCAGGCTAGGCCAGTGTTTACTTTTCTATAATTATGTGCCATATATTTCATAATTTTCACTGCATACTGGTTGCTAGATTAGAATTGATTGATTGTTTATTTATTTACTGCACTCTATGTTGTGATTGATTGTGCCTTTTAATTTTCAAATATTAACTTCTTAACATTATTTATTTAAATGTGATTATTAGGATAACCCTTCAGGTTGTTTACTCTCAAATTTTATATTTTGTATAAATTGATTTGAGCATTGAGTTGTGCTTTAAAGTGATTTAAGAATGGGATGTTAGGCATCCAATTTGGAATCCAAAGAGGAAGGGACATCCCTTAGGGGAGAATCCCTCTCCATTTGGAGATCCAAATTTGGATGATCTTAAAATATCTAAAGTGGAAAGATAACACCCCTTCCAAGGGGGGGTTTCTTTTCTTTTGTATATCCGGACCCGATAATCTAAGGAGCTGTAAAAGGATGAAGAAGTGAAGATTGAGAAGAATCCCAAATCTCAAAGTCATTTGAGTCATAGGAGTAGAATTTGGGTTATTCTGAGTGGTGCTCGGCCACTTTACTTTTTTGCAGACCCTAGTTTGTAATATTAAGTGGCACTTGTCATACGGACATTCAATTTGAGTAATTAACATAATTGATTGTGTAGTAGAGTTACTTATTTTTCTAGTCTTTTTACTTGTATGTCGTATTTGTTTGAGCATGTAATCTGATCGTAGGCTCATAAGGACTCGTTTAAAACTATTTTTACATAAACAAAATTAAACATTTTAAGACAACATAGCAACTCTATTGTATTTAAGAAGTAAGCCCGGGATCGCCAGGAAATCGCATGCATAATTCTTACATCTTCTTTCTTTTTATTAGGCACCTCCCCACCTATGGGTTTTTACAGACCACCTAGTCTATGAGGGTGCAGATATGTCAAAGGGAATCTATGCATTCTTCTAGGATAATACTTATTTTTAAGCATTTTTTAAAATTGCTTTATTCTGATTTAAACATTTAATCGAGTCAATTATCATGCATTATATTAGATACAAACTTAAAAGTGTCTAAATATATAATTGCATTAGCTTAAGCATCAAATATCCAATTTATGTTAAGGGGTAAATTAGGATCTACTCTAGATGTCGGCCCCAATTTCCTTAAACTGAACTTAATGCAACGTCCCTACCACTCTTGCATTATTTGACCAGACTCATAGTTTTAAAGTGCCTAGGTGGTTTAGTAGGCTCCCCAATCTTGGCCGGGATAAGTCAAGATTTGCATTGCATTAGCTTGGTTTGGGTCACTAGTTTTTAGTACCCATTTTAGACTTAGGTTCTGAGGCAGGCTCAAGCAATAAGACCTCAACCTCTAGGAATTTAATCCCAACTTTTTAATAAAATCATTCATACAAACTTAAACCTTATTTAATCAAATTCAAGCCAAATACTTAGGATAGGTTGGGGTATTTTTGAATTATTTTAGAATCTTAAAACACTCCCTACCTTTCTTCCTTTTACTCTAGACATAAGTGCTCAAATTTGATCCAATTCCACTATAAATTTTTAACCCTTACCTCCTTTGATTCTTTCTTTAAAATCCTAAATAAAATTTGTACCGCTATTTTAATTGAGAGTATTCATAGGAAACTCTTATTACCCTATGATATAATTAACTACGAGGGCTTGTGCTCGTATGAGATTTAGAAACCCAGATCTAATTTTTTAAAAATCAATTTTCTAAACCTCAATTAATTCTTTTTGGGAAAAATCAAACCTGACTATCATTATCATCATTTTCAAACGATCAATAGTGATTGATATCAACTTTCTTTGGAGAGACATATTAATTATTATCATGGTTTTGATTATGAAATTAATAATTTTTATCAAGATTAGTATAGTCAAATATTTGAACAAAATTCATTTTGACCCTTTGGGGCCATGTGTAATTCTTTCCTGAGTTTGACTACGGCAATCAGGATGAATTCAATGTTTTGTAATTTAAACTCATTAAGGAATGATATATTTTCCTTCCAAGGTGATATATCATTCATAATGACACGTTTAATTTCAAAATTCAAGAAATTTAACTTTCCTAAAGAAAATTAATCTTTTTAAAAAATACTATATTTTTTAATAACAAAAAATGGCGATTCCACTGGGGATAAGTCTCACTCTCAATTTTTAATAGTGTTACAAATTTTATTCCATCGGTAGTTTTGATTACCCTTCTTTTCATTGGTCCCTCTACCCATTTCTTTCTTGGGTGAGTGTGGCCAACTCAATTAAGACATGTTAAAAGAGAGGTGAGCGTAGGAAACCTCTGTCAAAATCAGGCTTGGACATTTTTCCTCCAAGTTAATTGGTAAAGTGAAAGAGTCAAGCCAAATCTTTCAAAATCCTTCCATATGTGTTGTAAACTCGCATGCGAATAAATCTCAAGCGTGCTAAGTTTCACTATTTATAGAAAATCCCTCAATTTCAAAATCATAGTTTCAAGCCTTTAATAAAATTTGATTTTCTTCAAACCTTAATCAATTCCTATATTCTATCATTACATATGAAATTATAACTCTTATAATTTGGTATGTGTGATATAATATGGACTTCTTGTTCAAAATTGATTCCAGACTTTGAATCATTCTAGCAAAGCTGATCTTCGATATTTCACTCACAAATAGTTTGTTGGGTTAAAAGAGCTAAGTCGACTTCTTATAATCTCCCCCCCCCCCCCCCCACATTTTTTTTTTACCCCCCCCCTACAATTTTTTGTTAACCTTTATGTTGAATGCGAGTTCAACATATTGAGTTTCAAAATAAGGGGAGGTTCTGTCAAACTTTTGAACTTTCAAAACTTACCCAAAATTTTCCAAATCAACTTCAATCATCATTGCCATGTGTCTTATGTAACATTTTGTTGTAGTTGAACATATGCAAAGCAAACCCAAAACTCTCCAATCAGTTCTGGGCTTTGAAATTTCACCCCCAAATCACTGGGTGGGGTGAAAAAGTCAAGCCTACTTTCTTAGGAAATTTAGATTAATTTTGTAAAGTTGCATATTTGAATATAATTAAAAATGTTGAGTTTCAAAATTTTAAAAAGATCCATTCAGTTCCAACCTCAAATTCAAATTCAGTCTTAATTCCAAATTCAATTCCAACATTAAACTCAAGTTTGACTTCAAC